AGGGCTGCTGCCGGCGCTCGTGAACCTGGCACCCGGTGGGAGGTCCAAGTCGGGTCGCAGGAAAGGCTTGGCGGCTTAATGGTCCACACTGAGGAGGAGGCGGGGCCCAGGGACAAGTTACTCATTAGTGGGTGAGGAAGAAAGGGGGCCGACCTCGTCTCTAGAGCGAGTTCACTGGTTCTGGACAGGTGGCGCCCTCTCTCCTTTGCCTCCAGGTGAATTCTAGGGTTTAATCCCAGGCCAAAACAGGGCTCCTTTACTTAACTAATTCCTCTATGGTTGTTTAAAGAATAGCCTTTGCGACATTCTCTCACCAGTCTTCAGTATATAGTAATACATTTCTTAAGTAATAATTCTGTCCCTATCAGTGTTTTCTGTTCAATTTCCTTTAAAGAGCACTTCCTTGAAAGTCAGGAAACTTGGTCTCGTTCCAACTCTACCAATATCCGGAAGCTAAACCTTGAGTATTTAACAACTTTGGGAGCCAAATTCTTTAAATGGAGTTAATACTTCCTGCTTCATAGACTCATTGCAAGAATTATATTAATAAAGCATTGTTCATCTATCATAATACCTGACCCATACTAGGAGCATAATAAACATTGTATTATTTTCTCACTCCTTTAGCTCTATCTTCCTCCAGGGATTAGAAAGAAAGGAAATGGATATACATTATAGCAAAGATACTTTGGGTTACCGTAAAGAATTCAGTGTCATAGTTAAGAGTATGGACTCAAGTCAGGCTGGTTTTGAATCCTGACTATGCCACTTACTAGCAGGGTGACCTCTGTCTTCATCTGTTCAGTGGGGATAATAGTTGTCCTGAGGATTTAATGAGTTTGTACATGCAGTGTATTTTGTACAGGACATGGCAATTAGTAAACGTTCAGTGTTGATTGTTATTAATTGCTGAATGCAGCTATGAAAGCCCCTGCATTCTCTTGCTCCCACTCCCCGGGAGCTTTACAAAGGGGATCAACAAGTTAGCAGTGTGGCATGATTTAGGAGCTGAATAATTAACAGCAGGTGGGCAGAGCAGATATCCTCTTTGAGTCAACAAACACCATGATCCCAAAGGAAGTTTGCTATAGATGTATGAAGCTGAAAAAGAAGCATATGGTTTGCGCCTCACCTTCTAGGGAGAGACAGATATGTACAAATATAAAGTAAACAACAACAAAAGGCCAACTGAAGGCTGGAGAGATTAGGCAACAAGAGTTCTGATGAGGAAGGCAAGATGGCAGTGATGAGTCTAGACTTTCTATCTAGGAA